CACTTGGAATGCATTTCGAAAGTTTTTAACATGAGAAAAACATTCGGGATGCCACAAGAATGGGTAAAATATTTGGAATGCATTCGGAATTTTAAGAATGCTCTTCGAATATCCAGGAAAGCACAAAGAATTGTATTTCCGACGGCATTCTTGCTCATTCCGCCTCTAGTTTGACGGGGGTATGTACAGTTTCGGTAACAGCCTCTCACATAAAATGAGCTATACCTGTTGTTATTTGCATAACAACAAGTTGGTCATCGCAGTGGGAGCTGTCTTCCCGAATGCTCACTTGGCAGTTAGACAAAGTCGCGTGTAGACGCAACAGTATGTGTGGAGCAGTCAGAAGGTAGAGCTTTTATAAGGCGTGGAAGCAAATATATTGTTTGTAAGTATCACTATTTCTTCATCAACCACAGCCATTAAATATTAAAGGCGCAGAAGAATGAGAAAAATATTTACGACAAATATTTATGACATGAATCATTTTACTGTATTTCCATTGTTAGGCTACTTGTGTGTCGCTCAGAAATTATTGCTTACAGTGCAATGGGACACCAAATGTTCAGGATAAACGGTGCATTCATCTGACTTTTGATGATAACCTAAGTTAGCTTGAAATCCTCTGCACTTTGTAGCTCTCTGTTTGAACATTTTGTGTTCCCCAGCCTTGACAATTAATTTTGAATATTTTGACCTAATTTAAAGTGTCGTTTGTGTTTAAAAGATGATTTTGGATGGAGCTTGTCATCGTTCTGAGCTTCTGATCCAACGATTTCGAGTGCTCATTACACATTGATTAACAGATACATATTTTACACAGCCTGTCGTCTCCATTGTTCCGTGTGTTGCCCGTCCATTACGCGATTCACTGTATGAAAACTTATATTATATATGTGCAGTATCTGTATCTGTATCTGTTCATGTACGTCTAGAGAAACCAGTACTGGTATGAAGTATATTTGTTATAATTTTCGAAGAGAATTTGTAAATGATCTCTTTCTCTGAAATGCGTCATTATGTACATGTACTGCAACAGTGTTATAACTTTTAATATCAAGAGGAATATATTAACGGTCGTAGCAATAAGCTCACCCACCCTGCAAATGAAACGGACTGTCCCATCAATGTTACTTTTTAACAAGAGGCCTCAAATAGTTATATCATTAACTAATTTCAGATCATAATTTTGGTTTTACGCTAGCTGAACCTGAACATCAGACTAGTTAATAAACGTGCACGCCATTCCATTTATTTTGCCTTCTGCCCCGTGATATTTCTTGCATTATTAGAATTTAAAGAGCCTGTCTGTTTAGTTCAAACTTGTAAACATTATTTTATCTTTTCAGGAGCTCAACCAGATTCTGCACAGCATCCACCTGATAGCAGCCTATGAAGTCTAGCCTTTGTTTCACACACAGGAACCCACGCTCCTTCGTACCTAAACATCTCTTATATAAAAACTCAATAATAAAAAAAACTTTTGAAATTTGGTGTTTTATTTTTCACTTTGTTATGAAATTATTATGATAAGAATAGTAGTAATCAATAGAAAGCGAGTTATTCTTAGTGTTTGAGACTTTAAAATTCAATCTGAACTATTAATAATGTCAATGTTTTTGTGGTTGACGGTTTTCTGTGGTACCTAAATCTTAAACAGTTATAAAATGACCAGTATTTTCTTTTAAAAAAAACCCTGCAAGCTGATTTAGCGCACTGAAATAAAATTTCTTAAATGGTTTCCAACAACTTACATTTTATATTTAAAATTTATTTATATTTACAGTCCTGGTTATTAAAAAATTAAAAAATTCACATGAGATTTTTGCCGTATAGCATATGGAACTAATTCGTTTGGATATAATTTTCCTATATTTTCTCATATAGGGAGGGTCCCATTTTGACGGGTTTTGGCTTTTGCTATCATGGATTGTTTAAATTTGGCGGCCTACTCTTAGTATAAATACTTAATTTGAAATTAGAACGTAATAATGAAAAGGTGGGATGATTCGGATGTAAGCTAAAATCAAGTAAGTTTTAATAAATGAATATGACTGAAATTGGCCAAAAATTTGATTTCTGAGGGTGTAACAGAACAATTTCTTCACTTCCTGTTCTCTGAACCAAATTGGGATAATTACAGGACTCGCCACACCTGTCACCCCCCCTTTTATGCAATGGACTCGTCCCACCTG